TATTAATAGTATATAGACTTATATCATTAAATATATATATTGTGTCAAAAAGTTGACATTAATTGACTTTATTGCCTTTGGAGAGCACAGGGATACCAGAGAGGTCAGGGGTTTGCAAACAAGTTTGTACATGGTACTAAATTGATTATTATTATTATTATTTAGCAAAAATTAACATTTTTAAATTTTCTACACAAAAATATTTTTTGTTTTGATATAACTTTTACGAGAAAAAAAATAGTTTTATCATAATTACGAAAAAAATTATTGCACGTTATTATTACAATATTATATATAAATACACTCAACTTATAGTTTATTTATAAAATTAATGTGAATGTGATTTAAGAGAAAATATTTTTGTATATTTTAGTATATTTTATTAGAATAAAAAAAATAACTGATTTCTCAAAACAGTTTACTTGATATTATTGTTATTATTATTATTATGATTTGTGGTAAACTATAATTAAATATCAATCAGTTTTTGTTCATTTTGATAGATCATATTTTTATTATTATAATCACTGCAATATTATTTACTATTAAATACTTCCCTCTCATGAATCAAAGTTTTAATGGCAATCAACACACACACAGACTAAACACAATAATAATTTGTGGGATAAACTTAGTCTCAAATGTTTTATTACAAATAAAAAAAATATGAATTTGATAATTATTTTTTAATTTTTTTATTATAATTGACAATATATGCAATTTAATCTAGAATAAATTATTTTTATATAAAAACAAAGTTGTCTAGGCTCATCTTATTTAATATATATCATATAACTTAATTTTTTAAATTAAAATGTTTCACATAAACGCATGTAATTTTTTAATACATATTATCATACAATGTTATTGTATAAAAAATTATTTTTATAAAGTATCACATAATCATCTTTATGATTATATAGCAAATTGTATTGTACGGGGAATTTAGTAAAAATTTTGTCATTATTTAAGTTTATAAATATTTTAAAAATTGTTTTACATAAACTCTTACATTATATACATGTATATAATCTAATTTTAACAATAAAATTATATTTTATTTTAATTAATATAACATGTTTGTTAACAATTTGTTTTGTTATCTAATATTTATATATTGGACAGCCATGAGAAACCTGATGACACAATATGTGAAATAAATTTTTCAGATTTTTTTTGTTATTTATAAATTGTGTGATAATTTCATTTAACAATTATTTAATTATTCAGTTATTTTTGTGAATGAGCGACCTATCACTTAATTATATTTTTGGATATTATTATTATTATACAGCTATCAAGTAGAAAATACTTGATATGATATATTAATAAGTTATATAAGTTTTTTTTATAAATATGATCACATGCTAATCACTTATCAAACAACTATATTATACTAAATTGTTTTATTTAATTTTTTGAAAAACTTAATTTTTGTTTTTATTAATTATCATTTGTAAAATTGTTACAAATTTTGTTACCAGTGATAACCTTAGATTAATTGTGTGAAAATAATATGATTTATTTGTTAGTAACAAATAAATTGTACGATATTTTGTCTCAAGACAGACAAAATGGTCAATAAATAAATAATACTCTAATAATTTAAATTATTTTAATTTTATTATTATTATTATTCTAATACTTAAGTCTAATTAGACACATAATACAGTAGGTGTGGCACTTAATCTGTATTTTATAAAATAAATATATAAATTTTTCTTTACAAAAGCAATTGAATAATAAATTAATTATTATATATTGTTTTATATAACAGACAATATGCACAAAGCAATTAATAGTTATGTATAATAGCAAAAACATTAGACTATTAAATAATTAATAAAAATATTTATTTTGTTATTATTTAATTTAGATTATTAGGTCTAAAATTATTTTTTTATAAAATTTTATTTTTGATAAAAATAATGATAATTCAGTAGACTCTCTCTCTCTCTCTCTCTCTCTCTCATTATAATAATAATAATAATACCGGATCTAAGTTTGATTAAAGTTAATGAATATCAACATAAAGTAAGTCAAGAAACAAAAATTTATTTATAATAACTTATATTTTATAACAAAACTGACGGCAAACCAACAACATTATTGTTACATTAAGTAAAGTAAAGTCAATTAACATACAGACATAGTTTTATCTAATATTATGTATAAAATATATATATAGTTAACTCCTGTTATAGATATATCAAAACATTGATTATAATAACTGAATATATTATTACTAAAAATATGATAATATTTATGTTATAAAAATAGTGATTTATTCAATTATATTTAAAACGATTACACAATACTTTTTTTTAACTATAATGCTTTTAAGATAACAACACTAATTCATGTATTTAAATATACAATATATCTATTATCTGATATAATAAACATTAATTTTGTTTTTATGGTTATAAAAATAAGTTTTAATAATAATAAAAAAAAAGTTAAATACAATTTAATAATCTCGTTAAAAAAATATTGTTATTAAATAGATGTACCATATAAATAACACATAACTTGTTAAATTTAAAAACATTAAGATTTTTATTTAATTTATTATAATTGGATAAAAATGTTTACAAGAAAAAAGTGAAACAAATTACACCAAAAAATGGTTTTAACTAAATATAAATTAGTTTTCCTATCTCTCTCTCTCTCTCTCTCTCTCTCTCTCTCTCTCTCTCTCTCTCTCTCTCTCTCTCTTTCTCTCTTTCTCTCTCTCTCTAAATCTAAAAAAGCTTTAATTAACTATTTGTAATACATTTGTCTTAATTGAAAATAACCGGAACGTGACTCTGACTGCAATCATCACTAAATAAATATAAAAATATATACAAAGTATACTGTAATACATGTAAAATTTAAATTATATAATACTACCTGATATTTGAAATGCTGTTTATAAAAGCATACATGCTTTACTTAATAATAATAATCATATTTTTTAAATATTGTATAAACAATATATTAAGCAAAAGTTACAATTAACTGTTGTTATAAATTAGTTTTTACTTTTATAAAATCATATTATATGAATTCTAAATATATTTATTATTTTTTAAATATATATAACATGTATAACATATATAATCTACTTTCTATTGTTGTACTAAATTTAATCCTTGATTTACTTGCACTAAAATAAACAGTATATAAATAAATAAATAATACTGTAAAAATAATAATAATAATTCATTACAGAAATAACTAAAGTATTATAAATATAATACAAAAACTCAAATTTTATTATATTTATAAATCATTTATTTAAACACCTTTTATTTGTTTGCTACCATTACTTGTTTAATATTATAATAATGGAGTTTTTAGTTACCTATACACGTGTATAACTAACTAAATATAATGTGTTTAAGATTTATATTAAAAGCAAAATTATATATTTATATATGTATGTTAATTATATACCGAAATCTATTTTTTATGTAATAATAAAACTACCGTTTGTTTAATTGACTGTTATTATTATGATTTTTATTTATTTTTTTCAAGAAAAAATATAATAATAGCTAAGAATAAAAGTTTTACTGTAGTATATAATTTAATATTATGTTATTTTTTAAATAACTATACAATTATATATTATAGCATATTTTACAATAGATAATTTAGCAATAAATAAAACTAAATGTTATTTAAAATTTTAAATAATATCAGATGATTAACAATTAACAAAAAATAAATAAATTATAACACTTTTGATTTTATTGAAAACACAAACGATTTTAAATAACACTTTTATTAAATGTTTTTACTTTAAATTTTACCATTATATATTATTACATAAAAAATTAATTTATATAATTGATAGGTTATGCTTTGTATAAAAATAATAAAAATAAAACAATATAATTAATATTAATCTTTTAACATTAAAATAATGTATTACATACACATAAATGTCTAAATGTATAGTAATTTATTTTAAAATTATAATTTTTATTTCTATTATAGTTATTTTTTATTATCTAATTGTAAACTTAATTTTTCTTTTAAAAACAAATAGCATAAACAAATTATAAGCAAATTTGAAGTTATTTTGTTTTCATTTTAATTTAAAATTATTTTTTAGCTAAAATTAATTATGTGAACAAAATCAAAGTTCAATTGTTTACAAATTTGTTGAAAAATAGACTGTCTATTAATCATTTATTCAATTCAATAGATTAAGTTTTTTTAAATTGATTTATATAAATTATTTTAAACTAATTTTTTATAATATTGAAAATTTAAATATGATAATAAAAAATGTGTGCTAAATGAAATAATAAAATATAATCATTTAAAATAATGCAAATACTATACAATAATTTAAAGTAATCCCTATTATGGGATTATGTGTTAAATGATAAAATTATTTGTAAAAGTTTGTGTAATCTTATAATAAATAATAATTTTTTTAGATATTTATTATTCTACAAATTTGGTAACAAATTATAAAAACAAAATAGATTTTTAAGTAATTTTTTTTATTAATTTTGTTTCACTATTTATGCAAATTAATTAAACAAAAAATATATGGATTACGAGAACTTTGTGTTTTTATGTTAACTTTTTTGTTGTTTAAAAATTGTTTTTTTAAGTATATTTTGTGATGTATTCAATAATGGGAATTGATTTTTAATTACAATTTTATGTTAATCATTGTTTTGTTTGTATTTTCCACTTAAATCATTAATCAATATAAAGTCTACAGAATAACAATAATAGTAAAAAACAAACAACAAAATCAACATTAAGAAAAATAAGCAATAAAAATAACTCATAAAATAATAATACTATTAAAATTACATTATTATATTTGAACAACTTTATTTATAAAGTTATGACTAAAAGAAAAATAAATTTAAATTAGACAATAATATCATAATAATAATAACAATAATAAATAAAAATTTATTATCACTTTAGGCTTAAATGTTATGAAGAAATTGATTTACTCTCAAATGTTGTAAAATGTAATTCATTTAACTTTAATTTAGTCAAAAAACAAAATTATTTTATTCAAGATAATATTTATTATGAGAAAAATTGCATAAATTTTAGAGTTAATTAATATTTATATTTTTAAATATGTAAAAATATTTTTATATATACCAATATATACTGTATATACAGTTTAATCAGGTATCAGTTACCCTCAATACACACATACTAGACCTACCGATGCGCTGCTTAACTAACTCAATGGTTTTAATTTAGATAAAAATTGGGATATTTTACAGTATAAGCAAATAAATGAAAATCAAACTAAAATTTATTAGATTTATTATAACCTTTAGGGGCGACCATTAAAATCAGTATATTAAACATTAAATGATTTTTTTGATTTGTTATAAAATTTAGTTTCAACATAAATCATAATATTAATTTTAATTATTTTAAAAATTAACTTTTTTTATATAGTTATGAAATAGTATTAAAATGTTATCAAATAATATTCAGATTACTAAAATCATTCACTTGAGATCATATGAGATAATCCCAAAAAAATATTTAATCACTTTTTGACTAATTGTTCACTAATCCAGATATCTTTGTTTCGGTAGTGGACCAGCTTTGATACAATCCAATCGCTGTTGCTATCAGTGGTATAATGTCTGCTAAACTCATAGATACAGAAAAACTTTTTGTCTAAAAGCTGTTCCAATAGTTTATAATTTTGGTGGAAATCAAAGAACTGGAGATTCTTGTGTTGCAACTCATGGCGAACATTGTCTTCAGTTTGTCGACCGTTAATCAGTACATCAAATATTGTCAACATTTTGACGTTAAACTCATTTTTGGACAATTTATTAATCCATAGACTATACAGAAAACAATGTTGAATATCATCGACAGTAACTCTTAACAGTTGTTTCTGTTGATTCGTGTATTGGCTATAATTCATTGATATTTCATTGTATGCCTCGCAAGTGACTAATGATTTGATAGTCTCAATGTTACCGTCGGACAAGTGACCAGATATTACTGTTAAGGCTTGTTTGGCGCCAATCAAAAAGTTTTTCAGATCAAAATTGTTGTCAATAAATGGCTTGAGATATAAGTGTATCTTCAATGGTGTCATAATTGGTAGACCTATGTCTTTCGGTTTAATTATCATTAGCGGTGGTAATGTATACGAGTGTTGACTATTGTTATTATAGTTAAATGACATAAACCTAATCATAGAGTATTCAATAGTTTTTGAATATGTTTTACTGAAAGTGTTTTTTATAGATTTTATTGCTTTTAAATTTTTGTTAACAAACATTTTGCTATTTGAAATAACAAACTATTTGAAATTTTGAATTTATAATTTGAATTATTTATGTTATTAAAAGTAAATATTATTTTTGAATTATATATTATAAAATATAATTTTATAATTTAAATGTTTTTAATTTAATTTTGAGTTTTTCGCGTGAATTTAGCCATAACTTTAAATTAATTACTAAAAATAATTTTTATCCTTTTTTACTTTAAACATTTTTTATACATATACCGTACATTTAATACTAATGTGACAAATTAATGTATAAATAATATTGAATGTATTATTTTAAAAAATAGTAAACTTAAATAAAATAAATCATTGTTTACTAATATAAATAAAAATTAAACAAATGCTATAATGTGATTAAAATAAATTTATTAGATTGTTAAATTATGGTTTTAAGATTTTAATTAACAAAATTATATTTATAAATTGTATCTATTTTTGTATTTAGATAAAAATTATTTGACTAAAAATCAACAAATTTCTTTTTAATTATAATGATTTGTAATAGAAATTATATGTTATATTAATTTAAAAGTATTTATAATCATATTATACTGAATTATTATCCGAAACAAATTTTTAAATTATATAGATTATTGTCTATAAATTTGTATTCAATTAAAAAAATTATATATATATATTATAGATTATCAAATTAAATAATATTTATGCTAACCGGTTAACTAAATAACTTTTGATTATATTAATTATTTTAGTTATTTGTTTTTCGATAATATATCACTTTATTTGTGATAAAACGGTTTTATTTTATTAATAACAAACTCATACTTTCTTTTTGTTTTTTTAGGATATAAGTTATTTTATATTAAATATTAAAGACAGCATTTGGTTATCACTTTGTACAGCAAAAGGTTAATAAAATAATAAATTATATTTTTTGGCAATCAGTGAACAAATTATATATATATACTGTATATATTACATAAATAATTATAATACATAAAGGTAAAAAAGTATATTTTTAAAAAACATAAATGATATGATTATATTTATATATTATATATAATTGTGTATTTAAATAAAAATTATAAAAAATAGATTAACTACTTAATTAAAGATTCAAATATAGTACTACCCGACTCTTTCTCACTGAGCTACCTGTGCTCATTAAAATCGATATATAAATAATAATAATAATACAGTAATCGACAAATGTCTTATTTATTTTGTTCGTATAATTAATTAATTAATTATAAGAAATTTTTTTATTATTTATTAATAATACAAGATATAAAAAAAATTCTTTTTTAAATATTATTTAAGTTTTGAATTATTAATAGTAATTTTTAAAAAAAAAATTTACACATTAATTTTATTATACAGGTATAAATGAAACCAATTTTACAATTGATTATAAGTTATAAATAATATATTATTATTATTATAATAAAATTAATCAAAATCTTAGTCATTGAAAAATTATATTTTCTAACCCGTTATAGTTTAAAAAAATAAAATATTAATAACACATTTATATTCAATACTAATACTGTACTAATAATACTTTATATGATATGCAAAATAAAATATTACTAATTATTAATCAACTTTGCATTTATATAATTGGCATTTATTAATTATTTTGTAAAATTGAATTATATTTATTTTATACGACAAAATATTATAAATTACAATAAAAAACTAAATAATATTTTAAATACAGTATAATATTTAATATTTTAAAAGAGTTTTAATTAAAACTCAATTAGCTCAATTTAATATATAAATAAATATAATTATTAATATGTAATTTACTAAATAAATATTGATTTTTATATTATATTTTTAAAAATATAAAGTTAATAATTATATTAATAATGCAAAATATAATTATATTGTAGGACTAATGTAAACATAAGTAAAATAATAATAAAATATATTTTTTACAATTAATTTAAACTAAAAAATAATTAAATTTAAGACATAAATAATATTTAATATTTTGCTAAATATAAATTAACATTTATTATAAAATCAATAAATATAAAAAATAAGTTTAGATTTGATCTTAAATTAATTTAACAAAACTAAAAATTTTAATAACACACTTTTCAAAAATATCATAATTATCAAACAAAACATTGCGTGTAATGTTGTCATTTAAAATATATAAAATAATAATAATAATAATTCGTGCGACACTAATATAATATATTTGATTTCATTTCAGGTTAAATAGTTAAAAAAGTTTTAGTGGACATCTATTTTAGTCATAAATTTATTTTGTTAATTAATTTACTAATTTTTCATTTTTTCATATTTTGATAAGAAAATTTATCTTTTATAATATTAACTAAATAATAATTAAAAAATAATCAGTTTTTTTAAAACCTATCATTGACTCCCATTGATGATGACTATCGATAGGCATTGATGACTCTTCTCTCTCTCTCTCTCTCTCTCTCTCTCTTTCTCTCTCTCTCTCTCTCTCTCTTTCTCTAAAAATTATTATATGGAGTCCCAGTTTGTTAAAAAAAATTGTCCATGCTAAATAAAAAAAATCATTAATAAATTATAGCAATAAGTTAATTATAATTGTTTACATTGTGTGTGAAATTATCACTTAAATGTTATTATTTATTAATTTGTTGTTTAAAAAAGTTGATATGTAAAGTACTGTACAATGATATTATTAATTTAAGTTAACTAATTATAGTATTTTTACATATAATTTTCACTTTATATTACTAAATAAAATATTTTCACACATAAAATAAAATAAATAATTGTAAATATATGTATTAAATTGGTTGAGAGAGAGAATAAAATACTTATTTCATAAATAGTATCAAATTTTTTATTTTCTTTCTAATATAATGACAAATAAAATTTGTAACAAAAAAAAAACAAGTAAAAACCCACAMAAATTGATTAGTAATGTAAAAATATTTTTATATTTTGTATTTTTTTGTGATTATTATTATTGAAATGAAAAATAAAATTATCAGTAAATTTTTCTTTTTTTCTATATATTCACAAAAATATACTGTATACAATGTATACTATGCATATTAAACTAATAATATAAGTTAAAATAATAAATATTTTTTCAATATAAATTTAGACCAAATATAGTTTTTTTTTTATAATTTATTAATGGGTGAGAAAAAAATTTAGATTATAGAAAAATATTAGTACATAAATAAAAACTACAAATTATTGCTAATATTAACTTATTAATTTATATATATATCTATAATAAACTATCTATAATACAGTAGTAATAAAAATATTAATAACAACAACAAGAAAATGACCAAAAAATTAGGTTTAGATATAAATTGCAATAAATTATTGATTACATGTTCCCCCCATTCAATCCGTTTAAATATATACATGAATTACACGAACAAAAAAAAATGATACAAATATGTTATTAAAATTAAATAATTATAGACATTCAATATTTTAACGAAAAAATAACGATAATTGAGAACAAATATAGCTATAATATTATAGTTATATTAATATAATAATAAACAATGTTATATTATATAATAAATTAAATAATTGATTGATTTTTTCGTTATATTGGTAGCAATAAAATTAACATAACAAAAAAACTAACTTTTACTTCAAAATTTCTTTATCATTATATTTATATACCAGTATATTATACACTATTTTTTTTAATGTGTAATAACTTTCAAATACTTTCTATACAAATATCGTTGTTATCTAAATCGTGAACACCTTTTAATAAATGTCTCTATAAATAGTGTATGCAATCAATTATAAATGGTTTTTCTCTCAATTACTAATCACAGCATTCAGTAGTGTATAACTTATTTGCATATTTTCTCTCTAAATCCCATTTATTTATTTTTGTTAATTTAGTTTTTAATAATATTATTATTTAAAACACACTAAAGGTATATAATATTTTTAATTTAACCAAATATTTTTACTATATAATCACAATTCAAATACCGGTACTTAAAAATATATATTGATATATATCATAGATCTATACTACGGCTATAATATACAGGTATATACTGTATAACACTTCAATCATTTTAATAAAAATAGAAATAAATGATAAAAAGTATTCAAAATATTTTTATAACTTTTGTAGTACTTCTTATATTTTTCAATTAGATTATAACAAAAAAGTATAATTAAAATAAATGAATTTATCAATTTGTAAATTATAGCACAAATTTAATGTATAAATTTTATAAAGAATTTAATTATTTCAGAAAAATAGTAATTTTCATTTTATTTAATTTAGTGTTGAATATTGCATTAAAATTAAATGTAAAGATTAAATAAAGTAATTTTAGTATTGGGTGAAAACGCGCGCAATGTTTTATTTGAAACAAAAAAAATTATTACAATTTGATCATCAATTATTAAAATGCTAAATTATTAAATTATAAATTAATTTCAATCCAATAAATATAAAGAAAATCGCAAATTAAACAATAATTTTGTTGCAAAACATAGTTTGAATGTTTTTTTCTTCTTCTGATAATAACAAATATTATTAACAAATTTTTTAATTAGTATAATAAAAATTTAAAACAATTTTTTTAATCATTTAATTTAGTAATTAACTAAAATATAGTTTAATTTATGATAAATCTGTTATATATAATAATATATGTATTTTTGTAAATTTTACTATTTTTATATTTTTTTCAATATAATTCATAAATTATTTGATTAATTGTCATAAATGAGATGTTAATTAAAGTGTATTTTTTTGTTGATATTGTTTTTTTGTGATTCAAAACACTCACACTTCTCATTCATTCATTCATTCACTCAATTCATAGTAATAGCTGTTAAATGTTTTTCATTTATATTATTATTGTTATTATTAATGTATTATTGAAAATTAATATTATTTTTTTAATTTATTACTTTTAAATTTACGGTATGATTAGACACATAAGGAATGATAATTAAACTGATTATAAACTTGTTGTGATTTTTTTCTTGTGTCCATTGATTTTGTATTGTATTTGTAAATTGTTTTCTGTTTTATTATTATTATTATAATATTTATCACTGTATGTCCTGTTTGAATGTTGGGGTCATACGAAAAATAATTATTATCACTCACTCACCCACTCATACATAGTCATTCATTCATTCATTCATTCACTCACCCACTCTCATACACTCAATCATACAAGTATCACACATACATACACACACACACACACTCACACACCATTCACTCGCACTCGCATACCGGCGCTAAATATAGCAGTATTATCGGGCGCGCAGTTGTATCGCTAGCGGTATTTTAATTATTGTTTTTTTAATATGTGTGGTGTAATCGCAGCGCAAGTTTTGTTGTGTGTTTTGTTTATTTGTTTGTTTGTCCAAACAATTTGTTTAATAATAAACTGTTTGACGAGAGATAATTGATTTTGTTTGTTGTGTTGAAGTTTTTTAATTTTTTTTTTGGCCACAAATTATCTTCAAATGTTCATCGCTGTGTGTTTTAGTAGAGATTCTGCGATAAAAAAAGATTAACGAAATTAAAAACACGTTATTAAATTCACAATAAATATTGTTGTAAACAAACAAAAAAAGTTAGTAAACGATTTATATATATTTAATAAATATACAGTACATTAAAAATAATACACTTTTCAGAAATGTAATTATAAAAACTGTTATTCTATACATTAAACATTCCAATTAATTCCAAAATTAAAAAATAATTATGAAAACTATGATAATTAACAAAATTTTAATTCATTAATTAAAGTGCATTAAATTTTTGAATGATATTTAAAATATATATAAAAATTAAAAWATATATATATATATAAGTATACAAACATATAATTATTATATAATTTTTTGTTTTCTCAATTATTAATCAGAAGTTATTATAGATTTATAAAATAAAAAACACTAATAATATCGTTAATCCAAGAGTTCTTACATTTGATTAATCTGTGGCAACAAATTAGAGACCGGGGGTAGCGTTCATCACACCCTTCAACTTCTTAATCTCTTTGATGGCCCAAATGGTTAATGTTCTGGCTTTGGTATTCTTCGATTTTTTGCCTCTATTAAGCATAATCTGGATGTGCTCGTTGTCGACCAATTGAATCATAACGTTACCGAAAGCAACGCATAGGTCACCGATAAGACCTGAGCACGAAGATATTAATGTATCGGTTATCTCGGCATCGCTGGCAACTAGAGTGACAAACTGAGCCATGTATGGGACGTGCGGCAAAATGAGCTGCACCTCTGGATTAGGTACTTCAGCATCGCCTTTGAGTCCCTGAACAATACCAGTGTACGCCTCGAGACAATTCTCCCGGAGCTCATTGACGTAATCGACTAATTCAAAATCGTTTGGATCGGCCTGTATTTGTGTTGCCTGCATAAGCGTCTGGAGAACAACGTCCAGATATTTCTTAAACTCGGTACCGATGGCCAGTGAAATGTCACCGAAAACTGATAGAATCTGAGGCTTAACACTTCTGTGTACGGCATTATTGCTTAGATTTTCAATCAAAACGGTCATCAGTTCATCACAATACGGCAATATTTTGCCGCTAATTGAACGACATATATCACCGACCAGACCAACAGCAGCGGTACAGACTTGATATTCGGCATAATTTCTGAGACCGAGTATTAAAAACGGTCGGAAGACATCCATATATTTGAGAAAACCATCGCCTAAGGTCTCGATAAGTGTGCCGACAGCCATAAGTGCGTCCTCCTGTACTCCACCAGACTTTCCACTTGCGTTAAACATTTGCAACAATGCAGTCATAATGGCATCGGATATTCTGGGCGCGTCTTCGGGTGTCATCTTTCGTAATACCGACTGAAGTGTTGCGCATAATAGCGATTGAAGATCATTCACTTGGGATCTGTCGGCCTGCATGTTGTCGATGTGATTCTCAAGTGACAGAACGTGATTGAGTCGTTCCAATATAATCATTGTTGTGCTCTGGACTATGGGATAGCAATCGGTTGCACTGTTTTTAATCATTTCCATCAGCGCCTCGTATGCGGCAGATCTCAGATTGGCCTGTCCTCCATCTTGACGTTCGGTACATTCCAACAGTTTTTGTACGATCAGCTGGAARTACGGCGACAAACCATAGGTTTTTGGTTCGGTACCATCGGTTTCCTGGACGTTCTCGATGGCCGCTTCGGATAACGAATTGAATGCCCAGCAAACGTTTGCGGCCACACGCGGTTCGGATCGCAAACCTTCGAGCAATGCGTCTAACAATTGTTTCAATACGTTCTCTCTAAGGACACTTTCGGGTGTTATTTCGCAGATACGCCCTATAGTCCAGGCGACCGTATCTCTTACTATAACGCACTGATCCTTCATCATAACGATCAGCGTTGGCAGAGCACTGTCCACTAGCGGTCTCAGTGCACTACAGTCAGGACCCTCTAAAATACAACCAAAAGCCATAACTGCCGCATCCCTAAATCGCCAGTCCTGGTGTGATATGTTGTCCTTAACAAATGGCAACACATGCGGAATGATGGCATCTTCAGTACACGCGGACATAAGCATCAAACAAACGCCGGCCGCTTTGCATGGATTCCAGTCGTCTTCATCATCGCTTTCTTCTTGTTTTGTCAACGTTTGCATCAGTATTGGCACCAGATATTGGAGCGCGCCTTTGGCATAAAATTTTGAGGTACGTGTCGGTGGCCTACCCTGTTCTGCGGCTTCGGTAGCCTCGATAGACAAATCAGTTTCTTCATCGCAAACGTTTGACCAGAACTCAATGCCTTGTAGTGCAATCTCGTCGTGTTCGGAGCGCATCGCCTGCATTGTTATGGCAAACAGCGCCGGACCCATGTATTGCTCCATATGTTGGTAATAAAGTGACATAATTTTAACCAAACATTGAAGAGCCGAAACTTTGACCTAAAAAATATTATAATTAATAAATATAAAAAAACTAATTCATTTCACGAATCCATACCTTAATATCGGGACACTGTGTGCCCTCACAAACCACTTGCATAATGAAGTGTCGTTCCGTGTCTTTGTCGAAGTTAGCTTTGGTAAACTCAAGTGAATTGCAAAGAGCAGTAGTGGCGGCTAACTTCACATTATTGGATGTCTCGTCCCGACGCATGCCGTGAACAATAGCGGTGAGGATATTGTTTGACTGAGCGACCAGTATTTCGGGATCTATTTCCTGACAAATATAGCCAATGGCTTCCAGTGTCGACTCTTTCATCATTTCGGTGCTGTTGGCATTTGTTACGTTCTGTGTGAGAATCGGTATCAGTTCGGGCCAAAAATTGTGCGGCAATTCGGCGACACCGATGTAGGCCACGCATTGTGCGGCCGACGATGGACGCGATTGTTCCGTTCCCAACGCATTGATCACATTTTGCTTGACATAAGAGCGTACGTCTTCTGGAAAAGCTAACCATCGTTGTTGAAACTGGCGCTGAATCTCAATATCTTTGGAAGTCAATTGGTTCTTCAGTTGTAGTGCCGCCTGTTGTCTGATGAATGGTTCGCATCCAATATTGCTTAAGATCTCCGATAATTGTTTCAAAAATTCCGGCTAAATATCATTTTAATTAATAAAATGATTAAAGAATAAAATATTTGACATTAGATGTAATGAAAATACATTGTTTATACAAGAAGTGGTATTTATCTCTTCATTAAAAGAGAAATGTGTTGAATGAATGATAATAATAGAGTCAAAGAGTCAATGCATTTGTCAACTGATAAGACGACAAATGCATACTTTCTTGAATGACTGATAAATCTCTTCAAATAAATCAATTCAATTAGACATTTATTTTGTGAATAACATAAAAAAGTAGAGGAAATGCTATATTAAGTCTCATAAGGATTAACCCAATAATTAATATCTTTCTCGAGCACTGGTAGGTCAAAAAAACATGAGGTTAACTAAATACTGACCAGATTTTGTTGGCACAGTTGCTCCAGATATTGTTGAGCGGCCTTCAGCTCAATCTGATCTGTTGGACACACAGAAGGAAAACAAAATAACTTAATAATATGTAATCAAATATTCAACTAATGTCTGGTGACAAACAAGATRGTCATCAGCGACGACAACAACAAAAGCAACACTTACTCGGAGAGATGGTCTTCGTTAGGATGTCTTTCAGACTCATGGTTTACGGACTAAGTGGTGAACACACGTGTGAAGTGAACAGAAGAGATAATAATAATAATATACAAAAAGCAGTTCATATGACGGGTGAAATCAATTTCAACCACAACTTCTTCGTCAATGATGTCAATACTTCAGGAAACTAATGATATCAACCAATTAATCAAAGACTATACTATTATTTGGCGGTTTTGTCAAACGGATCCTATTATTTAACCAATTAATTATGGGATCAACTAAAACAATAACAACAAAAAAAGAAAAAATGARTCAATTATTGTGGGCTCCGGTAGTRTCTGTCTGTCTGTCTGTCTGTATGTGTGTGTGTATGGTATGAGTCGCCGGTCATAACGCACATGACATCACTCGATATTATAATACACTAACACTTAGATTGCATTCAATACTACACTACAGTACACACACTGTATATAATAGTGGCGTATATAACGCTTTTTTAAGTAATAGTCAAAACATACATAGACTTTGCCTTATAAACAAACCATAGATTATAGATTTAATATATAATATATATACCTACAAAATGCTACAATATGTATAGTAGTTGTGTTTAATTGTAGGCTCCGCCCATTTTCAGTGTTGGACATTTATAACATGAAGAGTATGTATATAATAGTGAGTAACACACAAACACACTAACAAATCGTTGATTGGTTAGTACAGTGAGTGGCGCCTCTCTATTGCCAATTTGGTTACCAATTATTACAATATACTGTTCACATCAAACGTTACTTTTGAATATTTTTAAAGAATACACTAAAATCCACGAAGGTTAAAACTAGAGATCGGAACCTAATCGGTTTATGTTCGGGGCATACATCAGATACAATAGAATAATTTTGAATGAATGAGTTAAAGTTGAAATCAAATAAAACATTATATTGAACTAGTTTGTCCCGCGCAACATGTATAGCCGTGCAATTCTTTAACTAATTTTAAAATATTTATCATAAGTAATTTGAATGACTTCATAATTTGTTTTATACAACTACTTAACAACAAACTACTTAACCTAATGTAACAAAACTACAGAACCAATACTCATTTATACGTCTAAACTCTTGAGAAATTTTAGATTTATATATATATATTTAAATAATTTTTAAAAAATTTAAAGTTTAATCATTTTTGTGAAATTTGCACATGTAAATAACCTCCCGGTGCCCTGTGACCATAGATCAAATCCACTCGCACACTGTGGAAGTTAGCAATGTTATCCAGTAAAGTCATAGCAATAGCGCTGCAACTACATATAAAGTCAATTTGCATGTATAAGTTAGTGTATATCTATCGGTGCTTATATGTTTGATGTATGCCTGTGACACATACAATATATCATAATGTAATAACACAACACCTGCCAACCTGTCCATAAAGTCTACCTGAGCTCAATAGAAATTTAAAATTTTCCATAGAAATAACATTACTTTTAATAAAAATTGAAAATTTTAATACAAATTGAAAATTTTTGCATTTGAAAAAAATTACAAAAATTAAGCATTAGGTAGCTAACTTCCCGGTGCCCTATGACCCATATAATATAGCAAAATTAAATTACACAATACTTGTCTACCTGTCCTCAATAATCATTTAAAATTACCCATAGAAATAACATTGCTTTGAATAAAAATTGACTATAACAATACATTTTTAGATTTGAATTGAAGATAAATTTAATTTTCCTTAACAAATCACGTTATACAGGTTATGTTCCTGATTGAGCATGTGTTTGCGCAAACGGTTGAAGAGTGACTCGTAGTTTCAATAGACAGAAATGATCACTCATTATATTGAAATCATACTTTCAAATAAAACAAATTACAAAAATTATAAAAAAACATAAATTAAAAAAATCTTACAATGAACAAAATTGAAAACTTAAGACTTAAAACTTAATGGATAAATGAGAATAAACTGTATTGAGCCGTACAGGGATGTCAGGAGATAGAAGAGTCGACATTCTTGATGTTAAAAGAAATGATGAACAAATCTAAAAATAAAGGCATCGTTTACTAAATGTAATCGAAAAAATAAAGAAAGGATATAACTATTAACGATAAGGACTAGAAAAGACCATGTTAATGGACGTTATTGGCATACTATGGGACGCTTAGCATTCAATGACAGGACTGGATTAACTAGTGTCATAAGATCAGATCAAATCAGATCAAAAGCCTAAGATCACATACCAATTAAGAAAAGACAAACGCAGAAAACGTCAAAAACAAGAAAATCAACAATAAAGGATTCTAATTATGCTTATTATGCTTATTATTATTGTAATAATTGTAATATTTATTATTATTAAAATTGTCATGTAAAGATGTACATGTATTGTGGCGCCGGTACTTCCATCTATCGATGAGTGCCGACACCACATACATTAGAGTTGTAAATGAGATTACTGTTTTTAGTCCCAACGGGACAAACCAGGAGTCCCGGGATTTAAAAGTTAAAGTTATATAATTAAGGGATAATTACCCGAGTAAACCCGTGAATTATTCCGTCTAAAAATCGTAGTTTATTATAATTAAGGTTTTAAACTAAAATATTGGGGAATATTAGTGGGAACATTAAGTAGTAAATTTAATGTCTATTATTAATGGGAATTTATATAGTAATTTCTAAGTGAGGGGTACTTATGTATTGTATAGTAAGGCTTGTATGCACACGACACTCATTAGGATCGTCTGCAAACAATAAGACCTATTGATTCAAAAGCAAATAAATACTTATGTAGTTCTTATTGTAAAGTCACTCAAGTGTTGAGCTGAGATCATAGGCCGAGAGCATTTGAGACTCATTGGCTCATATTAGTTCTAAATGTGTTAGAGTCAGATTATGACATTTTATTTTGAAAAAAAAATATTGTTGAGATCTAACTTTAAAATGAAATTTTATTCAAAATACTAACATTTAGTATACAAAGTGCTAAATAATAAACAAAAAAATATATAAACAATATTTATGATATTTATAATTATAATAATTATTATAATAATTATAATAATTATAATAATTTTAATAATTATAATAATTATAATTATAAAAATTATAAAAATTATAAAAATTATAAAAATTAATAATTATAATATAAATATATTGTCTAGAATTTAAATAAAATATTAATAGAAAGGTAATTTTAATAAGGAAAAAATATTTAAATGCTAAAAAACCTTATTAAATTGCTTTTAATATTTAATAATAAAATATTAAAAAAGGTTACTTGGTTCAAAATAAACATAATTATCTTTATGATCTGTAGTTGTATCTTTTTATATTTTTATATTTTGCTATTTAAATTTAAAATTCATTGTATATTTTAAATTAATAGTATTGATTTTGATGAAATCGATTACGAGATAAACAATTCGTTGACTGATATATTGAATTCGATATATATGACAAACTACATAATGTTAAAGTTTACATTAATTCTAAAATTATATTATTAGTGTTACATCTGTTTAATAGACAAGTATAAAAATTAATGATTTACGGGAAATAAATTTAAGTATTACTAAAAATTATTTTTTTACCGCTAATAACATTTTTTATATAAACTATTAAAATAATTCTAGCAATATATTTATCGAATTCAGTCATCGAATTGTTTATCTCGTAATCGAAATCATTATCCCATTCATCCAAATCAATGCTATTACACTGTATTATAATTTTTATTATTTTATATATCTTATATTTTAAATACCTGTATCGGCAGTATTACTATTTATTTCATTAATCAAAATTTTACAAAATTTTTCATTATTTTCATTGTCAGTATTTTGTCCAGAAGTAGTATAATTAACATTAACCAAAATCGCAATTACAAAGATAGATGAAATAATAACATATTTTTTCTATAATTTAATAAATGAATGAAAAATATAAAAAATAAATATTTACAATTAATCTAATAGGTTTTATTTTTTAAATACAATTATTTATTTTTATACAAAGATATAAATTATATATTACCTTATTTTTGTAATTTTTTTTTATTTTTAAAGTCCATTATTATTTAAACTATTTTTAAATTCTTATTAATATAATTAAATTTTATTATATTTAATAGTTCCACGTTGCACTTTTTTAACACAATTTTTTTAAAACATTTAGTATATTTTTTACATGTTACATGTTAGATTTTTTAAGTGGCATTTTAAGATAAGTTACCATAACAATATTTATTTTTTAAATAAAAATTTCAACTCTATGATTGGATTTTCTCAAATGCTCTCGGCTTATGGCTGAGATTCGACTGGTCTGCTCAATATAATGGGCTATATAGTTAGAGCTTCGAACAGTGAGCTTAAGCTCTGCCTGAAGTGGCCTGCTTTTGCTTTGCATCGACTTGCAAATCATTGTTCATAAGTTCCGGGCAGTGCAGTTATATTGTTATGTACTTTTTGAATTTTTATTCTATACTTTTATTTTATTAATTATTAAATAAACAATACTTTTAATTATTATATTGTGTGTACCATTTATTACGGATTACTTTATCGTGTGTCGACTGTGATATTGTTGAGGACAGTTGGTCTTAAGCGAAGTCTATTATCGAACGGTCTTCGATGAGATCTATGGTCAGACAGATCTCGGGTTGGGTGTGTCGATTATGGTCTCGGGACTATAGCGAGACAGAAAAGACGGCAACACAACACATTTGGTGGCAGCGGTGGGATTAAGAACTTGTCTAAAATCGGTAGCATTGGACTTGAATTGGCCAGTGTTCATGTTTGCGGGAAAGCTGTGCTGTGTTTCGACTAGTACTGTACCAACACTTTCATATCTGATGGTATCGATCTTCGTCTAGAACTGTACCACTTTAATATACAATCTAACATAATGGCGAAAGGACTCTTCGATTGGAGTCCCTTTTGTCAAAATAGAGGCGCGACCGCCTAAAAAGATCATAGATTTATGAGAACCGATGGAATGGTATCTCAAAATCTTGTCAACAAAGGGTGTTGTTACGAAAACCGACATAACCTTATGACATATCTTACTCTCTAGTGAGTAATGAGAGCATTGGTTCGACTGCCTGAGGAAGGCGAATGACATATATGATCGCTTCGTTGACTTTGAACGCTCGACTCTCGACTGAGACCCAACAATGGACTGAACGGGATGGTTATGGATGCAAACAATGAATGTGTGACGAGTAAACACCATGGTCTAGAACCAGCATATCAACTATGCTTATATTGTTCAGAATCGCGATTGTGACCAAAATTATAAAGATTACTAATAAATAACATTTTTGTGACGGGGTATCGGTTCGAAAACTGATTTAGACCCTGTCTTCTCACATCTTAAATTGGAGGAATGAGAGAATTGATTTAAGAGACTAATAACCATTACAAAAAAGACAATTACCTATACAATTTAAAAAAACAATATTTTGTGAACTACAAACAATTATGACTTTCAATAC